GTCCCACCAGCACTGACCACCAAGCCATGGAGATGAACCTCAGGCCTCCAGTTGCTCCAGGAGAAGGAGAGCATGAGGGCGAAATCTGCTAAAATTCACCAAAACATCTGGCCTTTCACACCTTCTAAATCACCTGCAGAAAAACATTTCTTTCCTTTCATTTTTTGGTTGAAGGCACCAAGGCAGGGAGGAAAGGTGGCGGAAGTATATACTTAACAAAACAAAACAAAATAGTCTAATAATGAGAAAACAAGGTTTGAGGAAACTGGCTCCAGAATCCCAATGTGAACCATATGACACTTTCCCCAGAGCTTCCAACACACAGCCAAGCTGGGAAGGCAGCACACGGGGAGAGAGGAAGGGGACGCTCCCCAAAGGATGTACACTTTTTGCTCTCAGTGTAAGGCAAACGCCTCCAGGCACCACCTACAGACGTAAAGTGTGCAGCTGTCTTCCTAACACCCCCACAGAGAAGCACCAAGAATGCAGATTTCAAACCAGATCGCTGTCTGACTTCGCCTACATTGTCTGATATGCCCGTCTACCATATGATGATTTTATGGCCCTGCTGGGAATGTGAGTCCCAATGAGTTTCTCATGCATCAGGGAAAGAACTGAGAAGATGGGTTCTAAAGCAATGCAAAGTCTGATGGAGGTTTTCTTACATCCTCCCATACTGCACAATCCTCCTAGAACGGCATGAGCTGACGTCCTCTATGTGGAGAATCTGGCCATGTGCACGAATCAATACCACATTCTACCTCCTACTTCAGGCCAAGCACAGTTGGCTTGGACACTGGCCTCTCCTCTCCTGTGTGCCCTGTTGGCCCACGGCAGCTCACATGTGGCCCAGACCCAACACCGTGGCAGACAACCCTCTTTGTACAGTATTTAAGATGCATAGGTAACCTTCAGTCTTGGCCCAGTCAAAGGAACCCCAGCTGGAAACTGTTTTGAGGAACAGATTCTGGTGGGGCCTTAATCTATCTGCCAAAGTTGACAGATTTCCATTCCAGCGACTCTCAGGTGAAGAAAAACATCAAAGTGAAAAACAGATTCTGGCAGATGGCAGGAGTGTGCACTGATTTCCAACTGCCCTTTCTGTGGCCCCTCCTCCTCCAGGCAGAAAGCAGCACACATTTCAGAGAGCTCACCATGGACGTCACTTGGCTGGGAATGCAAGATAAACGTGGAAGAGCTCGTGCCAGCTCTGAACCCACATGGCTCAGATGCAGGCTCTACACTAGCCGTGGGAAAGGGCAGAGGGCAAGCATGTGTCAGTGACAGCTGCTCTCCTAGTTCTGAGGAGCGAGGGCACCCACATCTATCTCTATGGGTGGAGAACATTGAGAGTGGGGCCAGGGTAGTCCTCTGAGAAAGGAGTGATGCATTTACATGTGAAAGCAGAAGGATGAGGAATTAAGGAAGCTGGAGCTCAGCCCCAGTGAGAGACAAGTGCCTTTTCCATTCTGGCTCAAATGGGTCACTAAGGACAGAAAGAGCCCAGTCTCCAAGCTTCACTGGAGTCTCTGGGCTTCTTGCTATGTCAGCCAATCACAGGGATCCCAATATGGTAAGTGTCAGGACATGGACATGTGAGCACTAGGGGCTGGGCCAGAGCCGGCCACTGATTCAGCCCAAAAGATCCCAAGGATTTCAATCAGGAGCACTTTGCAGAAGTAACTTGGGGCCCAGAGACAAGGTAAGGGGGTTTCCCTCAGATGCCTCGGGCCCTGCAGCCTTCCCTGACTCCACTCTACTTCCAGGAGGTGCAGAAGAAAAACAGGTTGAACCTAATCCTGATTTATAAATTAGTATCACACAAAAATGAAAACTATACCATTCCAGGCAACGAAGACAAAACCATCAAGTTTTGTAGATTAGCACAATCCTCTCACATTTCTGGATTAAAAATTATCTCACACTTTCAGAAAGTTCCCTCTTAACATAGCAACCTATGCACTGGCATGTATGACAGCAAGGACAGTGACTCCCGCCCAGGGTGAGGTCAGACGACAAACCAAAAGCCATGCCACTGCTTGAATCTCCTGAGAATGCAGCTCTGTCTCCTCCAACATGAAAAAGGAACAGGAGGAGAATAAAAGCCTCCGCTGAAAGAGAGGACTGGGAGGGCCACCGGGAAGCCACATACATCACCGCCACTTCACTAGGTGCCGCGGAGAGCAGCTTTGGAGAGCCGCCCTGGCTGATCATGAATAATGTGCCAGGGAACCGGCACAGGGTGGGGTGGGGAAGGGGTGAGTAAGGAGGGTTGTGGGTTGTGTGTGAGAAGCCCGGTCAGCTCCCCGGGTCAGCCGCATCTGGAGCGGTTTCTCTAGCAGACAGTAAAGAACTCGATTACATCCAGTTAACTGTGCTCTAAACTGATTATGCATGTGCCGGGCTAATGGATTACATTAGCAAGAGGAAAAATAACATGCAATCAATCTCCATTTACTACAGGCCACACCAGGGCCTAGAGAAAAAGTGACTCTCAAACCATCTCCAATCCCCACCCTAAATTCATGGAATGAGGAAACCTTATGAGCGGGAGCCCCCCTTAGTGGCAAGAGAAGTTTGATCTTAGTTGTACTGAGGGACCAAAGGGCTCAGGGCGAGCACTGGAATGATAATCCCAGCGGTGTCATTCAGGAGTGAGCGGGAGAGCTCCCCGCCCCATGGCGGAGCCCGGGCAGGCACAGGGCCATTCATTACCCAAGGACTAATGAGACTAGACTAACGACCTTTGGCTCCTGACGGAGGCAATTCTGCTCTGAACCTCAGGGGCTGGTCACCCCGGGGATGTGCCGGCCAGATGCACCATTTCGGGATCTCTCCTTCAGGTGCTGGGTCCACGTTCTACCCTGCATCCCAACACTCAGGACCCTTCTACCCACACCATCTTTTTGAGCAACAGTTTCCTCTACCTTAAAAAAAGAAATGAGAAAAAAGTCCCAGGATGACAGGCTAGCAGTGCAGAGACACACAAATAAACCGCATCTCTTCCGTCCACACCTCACCCTGACTCTCTGGGTGTGATTGTGGACATGGTTTGGGGACCAAAACAGGATGTTCTCAGCAAATCCTCCAAGTTCCAGGCCCATTAGAAGCAAAGTCAAGTGCCTGATAGACTCTTATTCAAGACTCCAGCCACACGGAGGATGCAGCGTGAGAGTTAATCGCCACCGTGTGCATTTTAGAATCTAAAGGGCAATTTTTTCCTTGGATGCAAGAGGCCAGCTTCGTGCCACCTCTAAACGACCTTCATCAAAGTAGCATGCAACCTTCAATGGCCACGCCGAGTCCTTTGTACAAATTTTACTCAGTTGGGTCCTTTGGAAATTCTTTTTTCCACTGGTTTTTCCATCAGGTTTTCTTGACCATGTCGGCACCATCCTGTGGCCAGTTCAGACCTCCAATTTAAACTGACTGCAAAGAGCTTTTTTCTTTTAATGGTGGCACAAAACTAAACCAGTCCAGCAAGGTTCTTGCTCATTTGAGATAAGGGGATTGGCTGCCTGGTGTCCAGACCTTCCTCACTGCACCATAGCTGAGTCCACAGTCAATTCCAGAACATTCTATCCCCTCTACCTCATTCCTGCTTTCTCCTCCTTTCCCTAAAGTGCTTTCTTGAGCACTGTGTTACACAGGCCTCCCCACACCCTGAGAAGGAGCAACTGTAAAATTAAGTACAATTATCAATCCCGGCAGAGGCTGACATGGGGAAAGGACTAGAAGTCTTCCTTACGTGGAATCTCCATTTAAAATCATGCTGAGTAGAGCAGGGACTCAACTAGCTCAGGGCCAGCAGAAACCAAACACTTGTGAGCCCAAAGACGTGAGAAATGGTGTGAAAAGTAGGAGAAGCTGATCATGGGAGTGAGCAAAATGAAAAGAGAGTGTGAGCGAGTGGAAGGTGTGTGGGATGAGGCCAGGGAGATTAATGGCGATTTGTACCTGATTGTTCATACTAAAGCCATTATGGGATGATTAGAGAAAAAGGTGAGGCTTTAAGTCCAGTGAAAATCAATAGAGACGTCTGGAGCAATTCTGCCGTGCAAGTGAAAGGACTATTTACAGTATCCGGAGCACCTCCTCCTCGGTTACCATCTATGGAGTAGAGGGAAGGGCTGGGGGGAAAGAGTGGGGTGGGGGGACAGAAAGAATAAATGGACAGGAAAGAGGGAAGAGGAGAAGAGACAAAGGGAAAGGGGGAGGATGGGAGAAGCCCAGGAAGAGGAAGAAAAAGTATAAGGAAGAGAAAGAGGACACAGAACCCAGGAAGCACAGAAGTTGGGGGGGGGAGACAAAAATGGCCCCTTATGGACCCCGTTTTCCCCACAGCATTTAGCACCTTCTAGCCTGCTACATAATTTATTCATCATTTCTCACCCATCTCTTGCTAAAAGAATGGAAGCTCTATGAGGGCAGGGTTATTTATTTATTTATTTATTTATGTGGTCAGTTTCATGCACTGATGTGGACACGTGCCCAGAACAGTACCTGGCATTGAGAAGGTACCCAGTGTATATTTGTTGGTGGGATGATGGATGGATGAAAGAAGGAAGGGAGGAACAAAACATCCCAGGAGCATCCAGGAAAGGAGAAAAAAAAAAAAAAAAAAAAAGGAATAAAGAGATGGAAAAGGAGAACAGAAAGCCTAAAGGAGAGAGGGAAACCACAGGAGCAGAGGATGCAAAAGAGCCCATGTAAGAAAGAAAAGAACCAACCCTAGAGGCGCTGTCAACAAAACCTGCCCCCAAATTGGGCATCCAAAAAGAGAACCTTCAGCTACTCAAGCTACTCACTGAACCTGTCACATTTCCATCTGGTGACAAAGTGGACACTGCCGACTCTCCTCTCCACTCCAGGTTCCCAACCAACAGCCACCCGGGCCATGCCAGAGACTGTCCGACTCCTCCCCAGTGCTCCCTAACTCCCCAGTGCGCAACCCTCTCCTTTCAGAAAGGGTGCCTGAGCCATAAGGAGCTGGGCCTTACCTTGTACAACTTCAGGCTGGCCTCGTGCCTGGAGTTGACCGTGTGCAGCCGCAGCTTCTCCAGGCTGTTGGTGTAGTAGTCACAGGCATTGCACTTAAGGTGCACGGGGTTGCCGATGGCCACACACTTGAGCCTCCACTCGTTGGCCTTGCCGCCCTCCTTGATGTGGGCCACCAGCTGGTACTTCTGCACGTGCTTGTCTGTCTTGCAGTGCAGCTGGAAGTTGGCCTTGAGCTGGGTGTTGTAGCGGCAGAGCTTGCACTGGTACGAGTCCCCCATCACCGCCTTCCACTCGTCCTCCGACAGGCTGCGCTCCACGTTCATGTGCAGGCCCAGCATGTCCAGGTTGTCTGTCGTGAACTTGTTGCAGACGGCACACTGGAAGAGCTTCAGCGATGGGTCGTTGGTCTGGATGAAGCTCTCGCCCAGGTTCATCAGCTCCTCTGACACCAGCTGCCCGCCCCCGAGCCGCATGTCTAGGGGGATCTCACCGCCCACTGCAGGGAAGGAGAGAAGGAGAGAGTCAAAGACCAGGCTCGTGGTCATGGCCACAGCTGAGGCACCCCCCAGCCCTCCGCCACCCTCAACTAGGGTCCAAAAGGAAAGATCACATTTCAAGGGTTGCAAAGGGTTACTGGCTGGAAAACAAGCAAACAAACGTAGTCAACCTGATGTGTTTCGATCTTTCCTGTGGACATTCTGAGATTTCTGGCAGGTTTTGTATTTTCTTTCTTTAGGAAAAGAACACCTAGAAAAGCTAGGAGCCATTGCCTCTTTAATATTTCTTTTTCTTTTTTTTCCTCCAAGATGGAGTCTTGCTCTGTGTTGCCCAGGCTAGAGTGCAGTGGCATGATCTCGGCTCACAGCAACCTCCGCCTCCTGGGTTCAAGCGATTCTCCTGCCTTGGCCTCCCAAGTAGCTGGGATTACAGGCATCCACCACCAAGACCAGCTAATTTTTGTCTTTTTTAGTAGAGATGGGGTTTCACCATGTTGGCCAGTCTGGTCTTGAACTCCTGATCTCAGTTGATCCACCTGCCTCGGCCTCCCAAAGTACTGGAATGACAGGCGTGAGCTACCGTGGCCAGCCACCTCTTTAATATTTCAATTCATCCCCTCTCTAAGATCCAAGAAAAGATAGAAATATGTATCACTCACTGGATATAAAAGAATCTCAAACCACAGACCTTCCAAAATTGGAAATGTGTTACAGCTGCAATCTTAATATACCAAGCCTTCATGGGGACCAGAATTGGGCCCAGAATATATCTGAGGTGGCAGTGACCAGCATGACTTTCTGCCACCTTGAGAACAATCTATGGCTGCGTCGTCTGGTGCAGCAGTCACTGGCTATATGTGACTAATAAATACCTGAAATATGGGTAGTGCAACTAAGGAACTGAATTTTAATGTTATTTAAATTTAGGAAGCTATGTGGTGGTGAGTGACACCTGGGTTGGAGAGTGCCTCTCTAAAGCAAAGATCTGGGGAGTAGGGCTGGACGCAGTGTCTCACGCACCTAATCCAAGCACTTCAGGAGGCCAAGGCAGGCAGATCACTTGATCCTAGGAGTTTGAGACCAGTCTGGGCAACATGGTGTACAAAATATAAAACAGAAACTAGCCAGGCATGGTGGAGCATGCCTGTAGTTCCAGCTACTCAGGGACTGAAAAGGGAGGATCACTTGAACCCCAGAGGCAGAGGCTGCAGTAAGCTGAGACCGTGCTACTCAGCTCCAGCCCTGGTGACAGAGCAAGACCCTGTCTCAAAAACAAAACAAAACAAAACATAAAAAGACTTGGGGAGTAATCCCTCTACTCCTCACCACTCCCCTCTGGTCAATGTCCCTCCCGTCAGTCAATGTTGCCAACCCTCCCATGTCTTCCCAGTAGGGCCGCCTATTCTCTTTCCTGAGCCTCCGCCCTGTGTGACATGCAGAGTTACCCTAGAACCTATCACCTTCCCTTTGCCATTCAGTCACCTACATACAGAAATGCACCATAGCTGGGATCCCCATCAAGGTGCCACCTCCCTAGGACAGGGGTTCAGTCTTATCCTCGCTGGACCTCTACAGAGTGCCCAGCCCTCTACAGAGGGCACAGACGCCCAAATGTTTGCTGTGCTAGACAAGAGTGAAAAAAGAATGGGACTGTCGCATGTTCAGGAAGTGGACCGAGACAGGCACTGAGACAGGAGGGTCAGCTCCACATCTCCACAAAAGGGCCGAGAGAAGATCTCTTCCTCCCTCTCCCACCCTGGTCTTTTTCAGTCCATCACTGCCCTGCATAAACCTGGGACAAGCTCACATTTGCTACGGTAAATTAATACTGCAAGGGCTTATTTCTACCAGGAGAAAGGCCTGAAGAAAGCAGCCTTCCCTCCAGTTCCTAGAAGTATACGGTCAAGCAGAAAGCTGGGCACTGGTGTCTAGTTTCTCTTTCCTAAACACATATGCACTTGAGCTATTGGGTCTGCCCCACCTCCCCAACTGATATTTAAATTTCACCTTTTATGTATGGTTGGGCCAAGGTTATTTTATTTTTTATAACTGATTAGAATCCAAGTCAGTGGCTCATCAGAGAAAAGATTTTTTCTTTTTTTTATGATTTTCTTATTGACGCTACACAAGTCACCTCGAGTGACAAGATCAGTACAGGCTCTGCTAAGCAGAACAGCAGCTGCGTTTGAAGCTCACGGACAGTCTAGTGAGCCACAGAAATCTTCTGCACATGCATTCCAGAAGGCTTAGGAAGCTTTCAGCTTGTTGTCTGTCTTCCCATCTCCCCTGGTGAGAGGAACCATAACTATGACATTCTTTTTAGGACAAGAAAGAAAAACAGAAAGAAAAAAAAAGAAAAAAAGCCTAAAAGCTCCATCCCTTAACGGGGACGAAGGCCAGGCAACATCCACGAAACATACTCGGTGTTCAGTCAAAGCAGAAACTGCCCGGAGGGTAAGACAAGGAGCAAACATATATTTGTTTCTGATGCCAACCACCTGAAGTATCAAATCATCTCCACTTTTTAGATTTAACCTCGGCACATCAATATTGCTCTAAAGAGAAATTCAGCTGTCACTTGCTGATGCCTGAGTGAAAATGAGAAGTCCTTGGAATAAGCAGAGGAACTAAGTCCCAGTTTCCACTTTAAGTTTTTTTTTTTTTTTTTAAGAGAAAACAACTCACTTTGTTGCTCAGGCTGGAATGGTTCACTGCAGTCTGGACCACCAAGGCTCAACTGATCCACCCGCCTCAGCCTCCCAAGTAGCTGGGACTACAGGTGCACCCCACCACACCTGGCTGATCTTAAAAATAATTTTTTTTTGTTGTTGAGATGTTGCCCAGACTGGTCTCAAATTCCCGGGTTCAAGTGATCCTTGGACTCCCACAGTGCTGGATTATAGGCATAAGCCACCATGCCTAGCCAGCATTCTAGGCTCTTAAAATGAAACGCAAAGGATAGAAGCAGCAGAGTGCTGAAACGAGTGAGGATGACAGGCAAGTGAAAACTCCCTTCAAGAACTATGCCTCAGAGAAACAAGCCCCAGGGCTTAGAATCCTGCAAATCCGCTAATTCAGCTGCCACAAAGTGGAGTAATCTCACCCAATTCACAAACAATTAGGAGCAGGGCCCCTACAAAGAAGAAACTGGAGTTGAGCGTAGTGGCTCACACCTGTAATCCCAGCACTTTGGGAGGCCAAGGTGGGCGGATCACCTGAGGTCAGGAGTTCAAGACCAGCCTAGCCAATGTGGTGAAACCCCGTCTCTACTGAAAATACAAAAATCAGCTGGGCGTGGTGGCGCATGCCTATAATCCCAGCTACTCGGAAGGCTGAGGCATTAGAATTGCTTGAACCCGGGAGGCAGGGGCTGCAGTGAGCCAAGATCGCGCTATTGCACTCCAGCTGGGGCGACAAGAGTGAAACTCCATCTCAAAAAAAGAAATGAAAAAAAGAATTTGGCAGGTCTTTAGTCTTGAGCCACACTGGATCCGTAGTGTTGGAGCGGGTCCCCATCTCTGGGTATACACCTAACTCTAACACTGGAACTGACACCTTGACACGTGAGCCCGCCCATCAGCACATCGTCAGGAAGGCACATGGATTAAAAGGCACACTCTGGAATCGAAGGAAGATGAAGGGAGCTGTTAAACCTTGTGCAGGTGTCCAGGGGCTGGCTGGCTACTTGGGAAACACACAGCCACCCTCACAAGCAACCCCTTTCTTGGTGCTATGCTAAACTTCAGAGTCGAAAGGAAGGTTTGGGAGGATGTTCACAAGGCCTCAAATCTAATGTGCTGTCTACAAAAAGCAGCAGATCCAACTGTACTAGGCAAAGGAGCCCCAACCCTTTCCTCAAAGGCCTCTGAAAAGCAGCATCCCCAGAATCAGTGTCTGTTTGATGATACTAAAGAGGGCTCTGGCAAGGGAAGTACGAGAACAATCACCTTGTAAGGAGGAGTGCATTTCACAAAAACTTTTTTCCCCCTTCAGAACTCAGTCACATTTAATAACACCTACAGCCATCTTATAAATGGACTATGGGGGAAAAAAAAAAAGACAAAAATCAGTAGAGCCACAGCTAGAACTGAAAGTTATGGCTGTTTTTATTTGCATAAGTTGGTTTCTCCTACTGAGATCATACAACTCAAATTCCAAGTCCTTTGGACACTTTCTATGGCCCCCACACCCACTTGAGCTTCCGGCATAAAGGATTTGTGGCTCTCACACCTTCTTAGCAGCTCTTGTGGACCAAGGAAAGCACAGGTTTCCAGGGACTCCCCTTGGCCAACAAGTAGTGACACTGGAAATTCAAGGGCCCTTTGTGACTGAGTTGGATAAATCCTTTGGGAGGAAGAGTTCTAGTCTCTCCAAGAAATAAGGTGCGGCCCTTCCATGTGTGTCTAGAACACAGGGCTTCATTCTTCTGCTCCTTCTGAATCTGCCGCAATGCCCAGGACAGTACATGATGCCCCAAAGACTCACAGACACTTGGTGTGAAAGTGAAATATTTCTCTACTTCTCTATGCGAGCCTTAGTTACCTGTTCTCAAGATAACTAAAAAGCCTCACTTTAGGCTGGGCACAGTGACTCACGTCTGTAATCCCAGCACTTTGGGAGGTCAAGGTGGGCAGATCACCTGAGGTCAAGAGTTCGAGACCAGCCTGGCCAACATGGTGAAGCCCCATCTCTACTAAAAATACAAAATTAGCCAGGCATGGTGGTGGGGGCCTGTAATCCCAGCTACCTGGGAGGCTATGGCAGGAGAATCTCTTGAACCCAGGAGGTGGAGGTTGCAGTGAGCCGAGATGACGCCACTGCACTCCAGCCTGGGTGACAGACAGAGACTCTGTCTCAGAAAAAAAAACCTCGCTTTGACCCAACATGAACCTACCCATGTTTTGTCTTCATTTCACTTACATTATGTTTGATTTGCTCCAAGATCTGCCTCCCAAGATTCTATGACTCCTTCCAATTCCTACTGGTTTAAAAAAAAACCAGAGTACTCACACCCATCCACTGGTGTGCATGGTTCACCCTGGGGACAAATAAGGCGACCGGTGCTTGTGCATCCACGATTAGCCAGTTGGTCAAATACCTTCAAATCATTTGGTAATAAAGGATCAATGGGCAAATATTTCAAAATGGAAAAGATTAAAGAACTAAGGATTAAAAGTTGAATACATAGTACTTTAATGGAACGCTTTGAAATCTAACTCACCGGCAACAATTAGCACTAAAACACTACACAAATAAACACCTGCCAACTGGTGAGGCTTGGCTCTGCAGTCATCTAAGCCATCCCGGAAAAAAAGTCCTCACTGACGCTCTGTTGCCAAGAACAACCTATTCCCATGTCAATAATGGCATATTGCTTAATTCAGGCCGTTGTCACTGGTCCCACGAAGTCCATTAGCAGGGTCACGGGATGTGGCGCAGGCAGGATCCTGTCTGAGGCATACAGGGTGGAGGCATGAATGGCCCAGCTATCAAAGGGTTCTCATCAAACCCATCTGTAGATTGTTTTGGCGGCAGCAGCTATCCTCAAAGTGGCTGTGGTTCGTTCTACGTAAAAACTCAAAGTTTTCAGCACCCACATCCGTCCTATTCTAGATATGGTAAGCTCATTGGTTAAGACTGGGAGCCTGGACAGAGCCAAATCAGTTTCTCTAAAGCAGAGGTCATTCTTTCCCGCAACAAAGGCTCTGCTAACCAGGATCTAACTGCTATTAACAGTTAACTTTCCTTGATGGACAATGTTTACGACTTACTTCTTATTCATCTCTCACACCCCTCACAACAGTGCCACTGGGGCAATTCAATTCCCAATTAATTCCCAACTATTCTAATCACCAAGTACTCATCAAAAATAAGAAAAAAAAAATCACATCTCTTTCATTGAGGTCCTCATAAACATACAGAGAACTTTGTGGAGTCTATCTGGGTGGCTCCCAGCTCCGCACAGAATCAGCCTTTGGCTATATGAATAACATACACTGTGGTTCCAAATTCCTATTATTGAGATGATTGTCTCTATTTAAATCGTAGAGATAACTGTCCCTAGTCCTCTTATTGAGATGGCTGCCTCAGCTATCGTTTCCTGTAAGTTTCAGTAAATATCTGATGAAACCCCAAAGTTTTGGGTGATTATAGTGATTTTTCAAATTGAAAAAAGAGACAGAGAAAGACAAAATGGGAACAGAAAACTAGAGGAAACACTCACATTTTAATCCCGGCCCCATGTAGCCAGAGTACAATCATCTCTCTCTCGAATGCATAAACTTTTCCATATGCACACACAGAGTTCAAGGGATTCTTGAGAATACATACTTGACTGTAAGACAATCCAGTTTACACAAAAACCACTCAAGAAGACCAGAGTCAACTGAATCCACAGGACTATCTCACTCTATTCACCATTCTCCCTGGTTAAATTCCTATCACGAAAACAGACAAACACGTAGTCATCCTCACCTAGAGCAGGCGTCATGGCGGCCATGGGCCCCGCGGGATCCAGCTGGAATCCGCTCATCATGAACTGGGCGTCGGAGGCAGCACTGTCCATCTTCAGGTTGGGCAGGTTCATGTTCTGGGCCAGGTAATATTGGTAGAGCTCGGCCTCGGCGGGCGAGGGCAGGCTGCCGAGGCCCAGGTGGCGGTTGTGTTGGATCTGGGTCATGTTCTGCTGCAGTAACATCATGTTATGCATGTGCTTCTCACTGGTCATGTGAATGCGGAGGTTCCTGGCCACGTTGGTCTCATAATCACACACCTCGCACCGCCAGGTGGGTTTGGTTTTTGGTTTGGTGGGCGAGGGGGCCCCGCAGGAGCTACTGATATTGGCTGCCGCCGCCGCCGCAGCCGCCGCTGCCGCCGCTGCCCCGGCAGTGTGGCTGAAGACCTGCTCCCCCCCTCCGTTCTGCAGGTTCTGCATGTTGTTGAGATGCTTGTCGGACTGCATATGAATACTGAGGTTGCCTTTGGTAGTTGTGGAGTAGTTACACACCTCGCAGCGGAAAGGCTTGTAACCACACGTGTAGCTCTCGCCTCGTGCCAGCCGGGGGTGGGGCTGCCCGCTTTTGCAGTAGACGCAGGAGCCCCCCGGCTCCGGGTGCTTCTCCTTCATGTGTGCCTCCAGGGTCTGCTGGTACTTATAGTGCCAGTTGCACTTGGGGCACTTGAGTGTCTTACACGAGTTACGAGAATGCATCATGGTCATGTGACCGCCCAGCGAGCGGGAGGAGCCCAGGACCGTGTCGCATTTGGGGCACTCCACGCCACTCCCCGAGGGGCACTCCCCAACCCCAAGCTCGCAGAGGGAGCCAGCGTGCTGGTGATGGGGAACGAAGCCCCCATCGTCGCCCTCTGTGCTTTCATTTGGTTCTGGTGCTGTGGCATTGTCTTTATTGGCACTTTCGTCAGCGAAGTCCAGCCTCCTGCCGCCCTCTGCCACATTGGCCCTGACGCCCTCACTGTTAAAGCTTAAACGATTCCTCCTGTTCGCACCATCAAAGACAACAAAGGAAGAAGCAGAATTAGAACTAGTAGAAGCTGTGCCCCTCGACAGCGTCTGGAGCACGTTAGGCATTAAGGGGGAGTTAGAAATGCTTTGGTTTGAGAGAGCAAGGTCCTTTTTGCTGCTACTACCTGCTGCGGCCCCAGGCTCCTCGTGAGGCCTGTCCTCCAGTTCCTCATCCAACTCGCTTGGAAAGAGTCCTTTGCAACCCTCGTCTTCCTCCTCCTCTTCTTCCTCCTCCTCTTCTTCCTCCTCCTCCTCCGCCTCTTCCTCCTCCTCTTCCTCCTCCGCCTCCTCTTCGGCTGGCTCTACTTTCTCCGAGAAGCAATCCCCGTCGCCCACTTCCTGCTTCTCTCCTTCCGCCGCCCCGGAGTCCTTGCCCTCTGAGGATTTGGTAGGACTGGAAGCCAGAGGCCCCAGGGGGACTGAGGTAATGGGGGTCTTCAGGACCGAGCTGGTGAGCCCGCCAAGGTTCAACAGGGTGCTGGGGGTCAAGAGACCAGCCTGGGGCTGCTCGGGGCCAGCGGCGGAGCCGGCTGGGAGAGCTTCCTCCCCTTCCATTCGAATGCCACTAAATTTACCATAAAAACTGTGTCCGGGGCCTATGAGGTTAGCTGTGGAAACTAAAGGGTGTTGAAAGTTCTTGTTTTTTGGTTCCAGAAAACTTACAAGGGGTTCCTTGTCTTTGCCGATCCCTTGGATGATAGCGGAGATGTTCTTATTGCTAAGAATTTTCCGCTCGTCTTCGCTCAGGGTCATTCGATGGTCATGCACCGCGTGGGTCACAAACGAACGGACGTACCCGAAGGAGAGTTTGCACAAGAAACACATCAGGATGGGCTTCCTCTTGCCGTAGAGCACAAAGCCATCGAATTTGGACAGGTCCACATTGTTAGGAACATCTTTGGATACGCAGGAGCTTTTGGCAGAGCCGTCGCTGTTCAGGTAATCCTTGTTGCTTTTGTGTCGCACGTCGAACACGCGGAAGCTGTGCAGGACGGGGCTGAGCCCCGCCAGGGCTGAGGTATTCGGGAAAGCCTGGTCTGGGCCCTCAAACCATTTCCCGAAGGATGAGGCTATGTGGAAAGTGTTGATGATCTGCGGGTACACGGGTGCAGCACACGAGGGGTCCCCTTGCTTGCCCCCCGCGCCAGGGAGAGAGCTCAGGAAAAGCGAGGGGAGAGGCCCACTGCCGCTGCCACTCCCACAGGCGCCCCCGCCCTGGGTCAGCTGGCTCAGGCTCTCCACAATGTACGCGGAGCCGTCCGGCTGGTAGACGATCTCCCCGGCCAGGTTCTCCACGTCACTCTCCTCGTCCCCCTCCTCACCGGTGTCGCTGGCGCTCTCCTCTCTCAGGGGCGGCGGGGGGCGCGTGCTGGGGCAGTGGTGCTCCATGTAGGTCTGGAGGCTGGCAAAGGAAGCCGAACATTCGTTGCAGGTGACCTCCTTGCTGGCGGGCTCGGCGGGGGGCCCGGCCGACGCGGTGCTCTCCGCAAGGCGCTCATTGAAGGGGGCCCTCAGGCTGTCCAAGGGCCCGTGGCTCTCGCCTGTGGACTGCTCCATGCTACTGGGTTTGTCAGGGAGGTGGGTGCTCTTGAGTTCAGTCCATTGCTGGTGCTGAGGGATACCGCACCCATTGTCCTTCCCCGAGACGACGGGCGAGTCACAGCCTTCCATGGTAAGGCCTGCGTGGAGCTTTCATTGCACCCAGTACGGAGGATCGGACCTGAAGGGCGGAGGCAAGGGGGGAGGAGGGAGAGAGGGGAAAGAGAGAGAGAAAGGAAAGAGGTTAGGAGGGCCGAGGCTGAGGTCCCACCGCACGGAGCGCTCTAAGAAGCTTCTGTCCACAACACCCACAACACAGAGACACCGGACAGAGGGCGGGCCTGGGGACACTGCCCCGCACGGTCCAGCACACAGGGGTGGCGCGGCCGGGTCAACAGCCTGAGCAAGGGACATGGGGAAAGAAGGCCGGGAGCAGGACTCTTCGACTTCGAATTGTCACTGCTCTGCCCCTGAAGACTAGCAGGAATATCCATTCTTTGCCAGCACAGCTTCGATAGGCCACAGTGGAGAACAGACGCATCATCTCTCCAGCCCCCCCACGAGGTCACAGCCACAGCCCTACCACTTCTGGACAGCTCACACAAAGTCAGCATCAGCTCCCCGCACTGTCTGTGGCTCAGGGGAATACAGGGGAGGGCTGAGAAGAGGAAGGTTCAATGTTCCGGAAAAACAACGGTAGCGTGGGATACGCTCATGGATTTAGAAAAGTTGCCGTGGCTTTTACTGACCATGGTTCTAGTTTCAGAAGTTCAAAGAAGGTGGGTGAGGAACCTGAGGTTCACAGGGCAGGCGTGCAGAACTAGACGCACTCCGCAAAGTCCTCTCCAGGTCTGGGAGGCATCAGTCCCATTTTATAAGCAGTAAAACTGAGGGGCTTGAATTTAAAAACCGGCTCAGCGCTAATCTGACCACTGTGAAACAGAAGAGAAGATGGGTCCCCAGATTCCTGTCTCCTCCACCCATACCAGCCAAGCTCCCTGGCCTGTGACTCAGCTGACTTCAGACTAAAACTACACAGGTGCAAAACGTGAGCTTGGTATTTCCAGCAGGAATGGACCAGACTCTGGACCTGCCAACACCCCCTCCAGCAGCTTCTATCTGGCCCTGGCTGGAGGGAGCGCGTTCCCCACGTGCTTGGTGGTTTTTGCTATCAAGGATCTGAGCGGCAAGCCGAGATGGCAGCTGGGCTCAGCAAGCCCCAGCTCCACACCTGCCTCTTAGTTATTAGTCGCTACCCAACCAGCTGTCATTCAGCCCTGGGGCTTTTCCATTTCCGACTCCAAAGTGCCACTGAGCTGAATGTGCCCTCTGAGACCTCACGTCCCTGGGGAGGGAGGCATCAGATCGCCGCCACTCTGCTCCTGCGGTAATATCATCGCAGGGGTGATTATTCCGTCTGGCCCTGCTCCTACAGGCAGCTCAGCACCTCGCAGAGCCTTGATCCTTCGCCCGTAGGTCCCCAGCCACCATTCCCCTGCAGCTCCTCCTGGAGAACATGTGGCCGCTTCTCCACCCACCATCTCATTCATAGCCAGCTGGTGAAGGTTTCGGCCAGGTTTGATCTTACTTCCCTCCCCGACAGCCCCTATCTTCCCAATCTTTTTTTCAGTTCTTGATTATTGACTGCACAATGAGTCAACAGCTCCCCCTCGGGAAAAGATGGGGACGGCAGGTTTACCACAAGTCTCAGGGAGAAATAACTTTTTGGAAGACTAAAGCTATGATGTGTCTAATACACACATGCAAACACACACCCCATCTCTCCGTTTATAACCTCAGATTTTGCAACCACAAAGTTCCATGCGCCTTAGAAAGGACATACTCATTTAAAACAGAGACGACTACACTAAACCAAACCAAACCACACATCAAACGCAATGGGACTTCCTCACAAGGTTGAGCCGGGATACAGGTGAGACTACAGGGTCGCTCTTCTTAGGGATGCTTCTGATTGGCTGGACGACATCTGATTGACAGCTTGGGCCAAAAAGGTTGGCAGGCCTGAAGGGGCGGGAGGGTTAACAGCCCGATTGTAAAATCAATGTCATAAATGCTTGGTAAGTTACAGGAACATGCGGGAAGGGGGGGCCACGATTGATAAAGGAGAACAGCTTTGATGCTGCACCAGGGACTTGTTTATCGACAGCAAAGCCAATCTCCTCTCCAGCCTGGGCTGGGCCAGAGAAACCTGCAAGCGTTTACCAATTAATTGGTGGGCTTCTCTTGCTCTGTTCTCCTCTTATTCCTCCTCCTCTTCCACAAACTATCCAGCCAAGGGGCTGGGACTTTTAAAACCTCCCTTACTTTGTTTTCTACTGCAAAGCAGAAGATGTCAGGAAAGAATGACACTGTACCCACCTATGATGGTGGTTGGTGACCCTGTGGTGGTGACACTAGAGCCCACCCATTCATGGGGAGCAGCAGCCATGAGGACACGGGTGGGAGAGGAGGAACCGACTGCAGGACCCAAGCTACCTCCTCTGGGCCTCCTTCCCACGTGCACGGGCTGTGACAAGCAGGCCCGTTTGCAGCCTTGCCAAACAAAGCGTGGTTCATGGACTTGAAGCACTATCCTCTCCGGGGAGCTTAAGACACATGCACTCTCTCCTCCTGCCCCATCAGAATCTGCATTTTCACACCATCCTCAGGGACCTTGCATTAAACTTAAGACACTCTCTGCTTCACTCCATCTTCACCAATACAGGTACCAATACTTCTGTCCTTGGTACCCGTATTGCTAGGTAACCAGGGAAGGTCAGTCTTAGACTCCCTGTGGTCCCTGGGAGGTGCAGGGATGGAGATGGAGAAGACGGGGACCTGCGCACAGAGATAAAGAAGTCTCTCCAACCTGCCCCATCCTGCGGCTCAAGGGTCTTGGGGCATCTACCACTACCCCCACCGCTGGCTGTCTCTCTCTCGCTCTGTTTATCAGCCAGTCAATAAGAAAAAGGTAGTTCTTACTTAAGGAGGCAGAAGTCAGCTCGGCAGGTCGATGAGCACTCTGTCTGTAAACATGGTTTCCCGTAAAATCAATGATCTTCAGTTACAGAGGGCAGCCCGGGAACCCAGTGGGTCCTCGCACTTTTCCAAGCAGCCCCACCAGCCCGACACGCATACCTCTCTTCAGGCTCTGTGCCCCTTCCCAGTGCTTCCCTAGTGCCAGGACCAGCTCGTACAGGTTCACACCCCTTCTCCCTTCCTGCAGCCCGCTTCTCTGCTGGTGGCACCCAGAACTCCCTCTAAAAAATGTCCAGGTATTCTATCACAACCCCCGATGTTACACTAAACATATGGGCTTTAAGAATTCAGTTCGATTTTAATAGAGCACATCTCTCCAATGAGAAAGTTAAAGGGAAGATATAGGAATGACCTAGCTTGCTCATTCTCTACTTAGCACTTAAATCTGCCATTTGAAAGGTAATCTTGTACAGAAGAATTCCAGCACCTTCATCAAGCACCCCCCAACCCCTGCTCATCTTCCAACCTCCCTTGGAACCACCTGTAAAGCCCACTGCATCTTCGCAAATGTCAATCTTTACTTTTCAAAGATTGTTTAAAAGGATAAAACTCTACCCTGTTACCCTGTAACTCCCTATTAATCAAAACGTTCATCTCCCTCTTTAAAAACGTGCTTACGACAGTTTTATCCTGTTCCCTTAAGAAGGCAGGACTGGGTAAAATGCAACAGTTTCAGGGAAGCTGGGGTGGCAGGGGTGTGGTTATGACGAAGGGGAGGGGCTCCTGCTGTTGCTCCAGCTCCCGGGAAATTAAACATGAACAGTCGCAGCATGTAATTTTAAATTGTTAATTAGCACAGGGTTAATTAGGCAGTCCTTTCACAAGAGGCTGTCTGGTAGGAAACCAAGAAGGGAAACAAAGGGGAAGGGAGGAAAATGAAAGAGAGAACAGAGGCAGTGAGAAACTGTTGCCTCCAAGAATATCCCATGCGGGATCACTCAAGAGACATCAGCCAGCAGGCAAGGATGCCTGTTTCCCTCGGTGATCCCCTGCTCTGCCGGAGGGAGAGGCAGTGAGTACCGCCTTCCTACAGGTGACCAGGCAGCATACACTGAAGGCCTCAAAAATGCACATCCCTCCCCCTTGACTCGACAATTCCCCGTTCTAGGAATTCATCCTAAGGAAACAACCTAAGCAATGCGTGGAGATTTAAGTTTATTCATCACAGCATTTATAACAGAAAAAAAAAAAGAGGAAAAATTTAGGCAAAAACAGAGACCCTAAATAAATTACAGTGCACAGAGCTCCATATGTTGTTATAAAGATGCTTTCTTTAAAGAAACTATTTATAAGCATGGGAAAATCATCATACAGATGCTGAATGAACAAAGCACATATAGGTATTATGTAGAGGAAAATAGGAGAGACTTATATTACAATTTTTACAATGGTGAATTCCAGGGAATGAGGTTATGGGTGACTTCATTTCCTCCTTTGTGCCTTTATTTCTCAAAGCTCTGTAAAATTAAAACCATCATTGAGACAGGAGGATTGCTGGAGCCCAAGAGTTCAAGGCTGCAGTGAGCTATGATCGGGCCACTGCACTCCAGCCTGGGTGACAAAAACAAGACTTAGTCTCTTTTAAAAAAAAAAAAAAAAGGAAAACAAAATTGAAAACCATCATAATGGAAATCATCACTTAATGAGTTAGGCGTTGTGTTAAGACCCACAGGTACAGCATATCACTTTGATCCTCATACCCACACTAGGTGATAGACATTATTTTTTTTTTTTTTTTCAGACGGAGTCTTGCTCTGTCGCCCAAGCTGGAGTGCAGTGGCGCAATCTTGGCTCGCTGAAAGCTCCACCCTCCCAGGTTCACGCCACTCTCCTGCCTCAGCCTCCTGAGTAGCTGGGACTACAGGCGACCACCACCACACCTGGCTAATTTTTTGTATTTTTAGTAGAGATGGGGTTTCACCATGTTAGCCAGGATGGTCTTGATCTCCTGACCTCGTGATCCACCCGTCTCAGCCTCCCAAAGTGCTGGGATTACAGGCATGAGCCACCATGCCTGGCCGATAGATACTATCTTTATCCCCATTTTCGAGATGGGAAAACTGAGGTGGCCCACAGTTATATGGCCTAACTGACAAACCAGACAGTATGGGTGTGGAGTCTGTGCTCTCAGGCAGTTTTCCT